TAAAGTATGATTTGTCTCTAGTGAATTATTTTGAAATTAATTTTTATCATAAATACCATCTACAAATCACATACTTTTAATTCTAGTAGGAATCTTTCAGTTAAGCTACAACCTGTTTAATAATAATGTATTATTATTGAATTTATATATTCAATTGAATATTATTGAAATATATATAAAATATCTAACCTGAATAGATAAGATAATCAGTTTACCAGAATCCCAATAGGATACTACATTTCAAGTATCATGATATTATTTTAGAAGCAATATATGTCACTTTTAAGTATGCTACTTCTTTTTTGTTTGTTTGTTTGTTTTGTTTTTTGAGACAAGGTTTCTCTGTGTAACTTTGTCCCTTTCCTGGAACTCACTCTGTAGCCCAAGCTGGCCTCAAACTCACAGAGATCCACCTGCCTCTGCCTCCCTAGTGCTGGGATTAAAGATGTGCCCCACCACCCAGCTATAATTCCCATTTCAATTAAGCACATACTTAAAAAAGAAATAGTGCTGGGTGGTGGTGGCTAGTACACACCTTTAATCCCAGCACTCGGGAGGCAGAGGCAGGTGGTTCTCTGTGAGTTCGAGGCCAAGTTTGGCTACAGAGTGAGTTCCAGGAAAGGTGCAAAGATACACAGAGAAACCGTGTCTCGAAAAACTAAAAAGAGAGAGAGAGAGAGAGAGAAAAATGGGAATTATATAACTTTCTCCCTCACTTTTCTTCTTCCAGCCCCTCCAAGCTACCTTCCCTTACGCTCCTCCCATGTTCCCATCACTTTCAACTTTATAGCCTCTTTTTCTTTTATTATTATTACATATACACACACATACATACACACACACACATATATGTGTGTGTGTGTGTGTGTGTGTGTGTGTGTGTGTGTGTGTGTATGTATGTGTGTCCACAAATATATATAGCTACAACCTGCTAAATCGATTTTTGGTTTTGGTGTGTGTACAGTTTCAAGGCTGACAACTCTACAATGAACAACCAATAAGGGGGCTCATCTCTGGGAGAGGCTAATTCTCATCTCCCAGTAGTCACTAGTTGGCTATAGTTTTTTGTCTAGGGGAGGGAGGCCATGAAAACGTCCCCTTCCACATGTCCAGGATCACTATTCCAGCCTCCTTTATGCAGCCATTTCTAGGAGACTGCTTCACAGCAGGCTTCCTGGGCCTCTGGATCTTACAGTCTTTCTGCCTCTCTTCCATGATGTTCCTTGAGCCTTAGATGCAGTGATTCCATGTATCCATTGGGGTTTCTTCTTTATACAGAGAAATCATTTCTGGGCTAAGATCCTTCCCCCTTTATTGTTGTTTGTGTGTTTGGACAATCTTACACTAGCTCAGACTGGCCTGGAACTCACGTGACAGACGGTCCTCCAGCCTCGGTCCTCTGGAGTACTAGGATAGTAGGCATGCATCACCACGCCAGAGCGGCCCTTTTAACTAAATGTTAACTGTGCCTTGACAAAAAAGTCCCTTCTTTGCTGTTTATCTTTTTGTTTGTTTTTTTGAGACAAAATCTCATAGAACTTAGAATAGCCTCCAACTTGGTATGTACCTGAGGCTGGTCTTAAATTTCTGATCCCCCTGCCTCCACTTCCTAAGTGCTGAGATCATAAATGTGCGCTCCTATGCCAGACCAGGAAGTCGTTCTTAGTTATAACTTCCATTCTTCCTTCTGTAGTTACCCTTGGCGTAGGCAGAAAGCATTTGGGTCACTGGCAGTATTGTCCTGTCTGTGACAGAGCCACACACAGAAAGGTAAGTACACAGTAATTTGAGAAATTCACAAGAGTGTGCTTAAAGGTGTCAGGTATTTATTAAAATATGAAATAGGGAAGTATACTCACAAGCAAGAAACAAGTAAACAGCTGAAGTTGTCCTCTGTTCTGTCCATGAGGGCATGCACCTGGCTGCCCAGTGTCTGACTATGCCAAGAAGAAAACACTGTATGCGCCTTGCTGGAGAGACACTTTGTTTGTTTGTTTGTATTTGTTTTTCAGACAGGGTTTCTCTGTGTAGCTTTGAAGCCTGTCCTGGAACTCACTCTGTAGACCAGGCTGACCTTCACTCACAGAGATCTGCCTAGCTCTGCCTCCCGAGTGCTGAGATTAAAGGCGTGAGCTGCCACTGCCTGGCTGCTGGAGAGACTTTTTTTTTTCTTTTTTTTTTTTTTAATGCCAAATGCTGTTTATTGGAAGAGGGAAGAGTTCTTTTTTTTTTTTTTTTT